TGTTGTACACTTATGTACAGGCAGGAGAAATACTCATATACATGAATTAAAAATAAATAAAATATTAAGAAAATTATAGAAAGTGATTCAATGGAAGAGAGAAATATAAGGTAGAATACAGTATGAGGACATATTTTTGGTTAAGAAAAGATTAAAAAGAAAAAAAGGGTTTTATTTTATAAGAAAGGATTATTTTCATAGAATAAATTAAGGTTTTCTTCAGAAGCAAAATAACTGGATTATTTCAGGATGGAAGAGCAAAGATGAGGGCAAAAGGGAGCTTAAACTTGTCAAGAAAATCCGTACCATAGACAGGAATCTACATATACACGTTGTCAACAGCTTAATATATATTCTGAATGGTTTGCTTGCCCTCAGTTAACTTTCCTGCTCAGGTGGTGCTTGAAAGAGTTCAGGGTTGATGCTGACAGATACTGACTAGACTCAGTGTTTCTAAAAAGCGGCTGAATCCTGATCACTGAGAATGACAGAAGAGTCTAAGTGATGCTAACCAGAGAGGCACAGACATCATAAGTCTCAGACATGTGGTTGACCTCTTAATCAGAGGGGCAAGATTGAGCTCCAGAATGAGGCCTTCCTTCCTTCCCTATAAGGCCTGCTGGCTGGACATGAGAAGGAAGACAGACTGTGTTTAGGTTGATAACCTTCTCAGGTCACACCTCTCCGAGTAGAACACAGTTTCTCTGCTCGTCAGTGTTTGTCATGACAGACAACGTAAGCTTGACTTTCAGATTAATAACTTGAGATCACAGCAGACTCATTTTATTGTTTTATATTTTGTTTTTGTGGTATTGGGGACTGAACACAGGGTGTTAAACATGCAAAGCAAGTGATCTGTCAACTAGATCTCTAACCTTTTTGCTGTTGTGGTTGTTAGAGAATTCACTTTTTATTATGCTAGTGAACCCAGAAGCGCTAATGTTCTGAGGTTCTGGGCTCCAATTCTAGAAATTATAGACTCCTATAGGACTTTTTTTTTTCTGGTCTTTTGAGACAGGGTCTCCCTTGTAGCCCCAGCTGTCCTGAAACTCACTGTGTAGACCAGGCTGGCCTTGAACTCACAGAGATCCGCCTGCCTCTGCCTCCTGAGTGCTGGGATTAAAGGTGTGTGCCACCATGCCTGGCTTTATAGGACTTCTTTAAAAACAATATTTAAAAAAAAATTATTGAATTTTTGTGATTTTTATACAATATAATTTGATGGTGTTAGATCCCCTCCCCTAGTTCCACTTTCCTTTATAACTACCCCCAACTTATTGTACTCTATTATATTTAGAGTAATATATAATATATCATATATATACATATATATGTATATTAAGGTTTATAGAGTCTCATTTGTGTCTCCAAATGTCCTCCAGTATGGGTCCATCCACTGGAGCCTGGTTAACCTAACAAGAGTCCCACGCTTGAAAGAGACTGTCTGTGCTCCTCCCAGCAGCCTTATGTTGCCACAATTTCTTCTATGATGCATATAAAGGCCATTATCCCCATTGTAGGATAACCCCTTATAATCTGTTTTTGTATGATGTATATGTATATAACTTAAGAAGCTTCTGCAGTGATACATTTCCGTATGGCTTTTTCTAAATGCCTTTAGTGTTATTTATCCCTGTCTGTACTCTTTCCTCTGCCTTGTCCTCCCATCTCCCATCCACTTTAACCCTTCCTAGTCTAATGTTCCCCTTTCCTCCTTCATATCACTGCATGCAATGACCCCTCCCCGGAAGCCTCCCCACCACCCACCCATGGCCGTTTATTAGTTTCTTGACCTCTGAATTTTCTAAAAATATGTTATTTATCATTTTTATTTTATGTGTATGTATTGCCTGCGTGTGTGTAAGTGCACCCAATGCAGTGTAATGCCTGTGGAGGTCAGAAGAGGGCGTCGAATCCCCTGGGACTGGAGTTATAGAGGGTTGTTAGCCACAATGTGGGTGCTGGCAATTGAACCCAGGTCCTCTGCAAGAGCTGTCAGTGCTCTAAACTGCTGAACCATCTCACCAGCGCGACCTGTCTGAATTTTCAAATTGATACTCATGCATATCTAGGATTTCAAAGCTAGCATTCAGCTATGAGAAAGAACATGTGACTTTTTTTTTTTTCTGAGTCTGGGTTACCTCACTCAGGATGATTATTTCCACTTCCATCCATTTACTTGAGAATTTCTTAATTTTGGTTTCTTGAATAGTACTCCATTGTGTATATGTCTCATACCTTAATTATCCATTCATCAGTTGATGGACAACAGCTGGGGAGTTTCCAATTTCTAAATACAGGCTGGAGAAAATCCAGCTTTTCAAAAAATGGTGCTAGTCAAACTGGATAAGGGCATGTAGAAGAGGGAAACTAGAACCTTATCTCTCACCACGCACAAAACTCGACTTCAAATGAACCAAGGACTTAACATACGACCCAAAACCCTTAATTAGATAGAGGGGAAGGTAAGGAATGTGTTGGAATCTACATGCACAGGAAAGGACTTTTGGAACAGGACTCCTGTAGCTCAAGCATTAGATTGAACAATAGACAAATGGGACAACATGAAACTAAAAAGCTTCTGTACATCAAAGGACACCATCATTCAAATGAATAGGCAACCTATAGAATGGGGGAAAATCTACTTGTGACAGAGGGTTAGTATTTAGAATATACAAAGAAATGTAAAAACTAAACATACAAAAACAACCCAATTAAAAATTGGGGCAATTGCTGAATAGGTAATTTTCTAAAGATGAAACAAAAATGGCTGAGAAATAGTTTTAAAAAGTTTAACATCTTTAGTCATTAAGGAATGCAGATTAAAACCATTTTGAGATTTCATCTTACCCCAGTCAGAATGACAAAGATTAAAAAAACCCCTAAAACAATGACAAATGCTATTAAGAATGTAGAGAAGAAAGGGGAACTCTGACCCACTGCTAGTAGAAGTACAAACTGGTGTAGCTACTATGGAAATCAGTGTGGCTGTTCCTCAAAAAAACTTGAAATTGATCTACTATATGGTTCAGCCATATCACTCTTGGGCATATGCCCAAAAGACTCTATACTCTACTACAGAAATACCTGTTCATCCATGTCCACTGCTGCCCTTTTCATTGTATCTCTAATCTTTAAAAATTGTTAGTTTAGAGACAGGGTCTTGGTCTTGGTCTCTCTGTGTGTATACTCTCATTCAGCAGGTATACATGTAGTAGATTATATTCTCTTTAGCTCCTTAAATGCCCCTTAAATCAGAGAGGGAGAAATAAGAAGAGTGGCTTAGTGACTGCAAATTCTGTTTAAGTATTAAGGCATGTGTGCGCTTGTTACAATTTAATAGGGAAGCTTTTGCATACAGTGTGTGAGAGGAGAGTAGGCGGGAGGCTGTGGAGTGAATTTTTTAATTGTCAAATTAAAGAGGTTTTATTCTATATCATAACTACTGTTAAAAGTAGTGCTATGAGACTGGAGAGATGATTCAGTGGGTAAGAGCACTTATTGCTGTTCCAGAGGAATGGAGTCTGGTTCCCAGACCTCACATGGCAGCTAACATCCATACTTAACTCCAGTTCTAGGTGATCTGATGCCCTTTTCTGGCACCAAGCATGTACATGGTGCAGCTCCACACATGCAGGCAAAACATTCATGCACATAAAATAAAAGTAAATAAAATCTAAGGAAAGTAGTGCTAGATCCATCAGGAATCTATTTTTCATTGCTAGTTATGATAGTTTAGTTAAAATACATTCTTCTAGTTTATATAATATTTCTTAAAAGAGTTTCTGAGTTAAGACAGGAATGCATACTAATTTATTTGGAATAAAGTATGAAACTAATAAATGTCATAGTCATCTACTTATTTTGTTAGAGCAGTTCCATAAACAATTCTAAACATACTAAGGACAGTGTAAATATCTAGGAACCTATGAATTAGCATATCATCTTACATTATAGAACCCCAAACTATTCTTTTTTGAAACTCTTATTATTAAAAAATTTTATTTGTGTATTTGTGTATGCCAAATATGTACAGGTGCCTGTGGAGGCCAGAAGAGAGCGTCAGATTTGCTAGGGCTGGAGTTACAGGCAGTTGTGAGCTGTCCGATGTGGGTGCTGGGAACTGAACTCATGTCCTCTGGGAGAGCAACCAGTACTCTTAACAGCTGAGCCATCTCTCCAGCCCCTCTCTTTTCTTTTGTGATGTGTGAGGCTGATTTTCTCTTGCCTACTTAGTTCTCACTGTAGCATCTTTTTCCACTGGAGCTTGGTACAGGTTTGCAGACTTGAAGAGAGACACTCCAGATAGTGCACAACTGATGAGACTGAGAACCAAATGGGTAATGGAGATTTTTCAGGACAGTGTCTAAAATCCTTACCATGGGAAACAAGATCCTTTAGAATCTGATTCATGCTTGCCTTTTCCCAACCTCATCTCCAGTCTGTCACCCTGTCCTTTGCAAGGAGAAACTAACCGTATAATCTCCAGTTCATCATGTAGTTCCACATCTTTGTGCCTTAATTAAATTGGTGCTGATTTTGCTACCTGGAATGCCATCTTTTATGCCTCTTATCTTTCCCAGAGGCGTCTATAATTCATCATATTTTCATCTTATTCTTTAAACAGTTTTTTGATTCTATTTAATTTTTTTTATATATGAATGTTTTGCCTGCATGTATGTAAGTACACCATGTGCATACACAACCACGGAGACCAGAAGAGGGCATTAGATATCTTGGAACTGGAATTACAGATGGCTATTAGCTACCATGTGGGTACTGGAAACTGAATCTGTGTCCACTGCAAGAGCAGCCAGTGCTCTTAACTACTGAGCTATCTCTTGATCTTATTCTTGAAACTGCCAAATACAAGACTCTGATTTTGCTTTTTTGACTAAAACGATCCTCCGGTCTCTACAGAGTTCCCGCGCCTTTGCTGTTAGCACAGTCAACACATTATACCGCCATGTTTGACTTTGTTCCTTTTAACTCCTTACCAGGTTGAGAAGACCATGCTTCATATATTCTTGAACACATTGCAGCAAGTACAGTGCTTGGGGAAGAATAGGTGCTTTACAAATCTTTGAAAAGGACAGAGTAACTGGGTGAGCAGGAGATTATGCTTACACGCCTGTCTCCAAGTGTTTCTAAAAATGTCTCAGGCCACAGTCATCACTTCCGTCCTCAAACTCACTGATTTTCACAAACACATAGCTTCTTAATCACTTTAATATTTATTAACAATCTTTGTACCACCACTGTATCTTCCTGTTCTTTAATATCACAGAATAGAAATCTGTTTGCTGTTCTGTGTTCATCTATCCACCCACCTAATATGTACGTGTGTATATATGTATTATGTGTATCTGTCATCTACTTATATATTGATATATCAATCACCTGTGGAAGTAATCAAATCTATTTAATGCTTAACAGCTTTATACTATACAACAAATGTCTCAGCATTTGGTTTCCATGATAAAATGTACCAATGCATTTTCTTTTGCCTCTAATATGTCTTTCTTAGTTGTTTTGAAAACTCTTCCTCTTGTTTCCTGCCATTTATTAAAAATCAGTAATCTTCAAAATCAGATTTTTGGTTCCCTTCACTTCTATTTCTTCCATTATGGTATCTCTCTGTGTCCAAGCAAGTTCGTTTGCCACACAGGCCCCCTTTATCATTCATAGTTAAGTAACCTTCATATTCAGTTATGGGTCAGATGTTGTGTTTGAGTTCTAGATCTATTGTTTTAACAACCCACATTACATAGCCTACGGTAAATCTCAAAGTCAATTAAAATCTGGTGCATCACAAACGAATTCATAATCTTTGTTTGACTTGTGGTCTCACTCCAAGATTCCTTGACTAGGGAATGACCTAATAATGTATCTTGTGGTGTGAACTAGAATCTTAAAAACAGTGTGTTTTTATTTATTTTTATTTTATGTCTATGAGTGTTTTTTTCTGCATGTATGTAAGTGCACTCATGTTGAGAAGAGTGCCTGCAGGGACCAGAGTAGGCATTGGATTCCCTGGAACTGGAGTTACAGATGATTGTTGGGCATCATGTGGGTAATGGGAACTGAACCTGGGTCTTCTGCAAGAGCAACCAGCCCCTGAACTAGAATTGTATGTTTGTGTGTGTGTGTGTGTGTGTGTGTGTGTGTGTGTGTGTGTGTGTAATGTGTGGTATTGTGTGTGCAGTGTATTCATGTAAATGTGTGGATCTGTGTGCTTTTTATGCTGATGCTGGGCATCTAAGCTCTTTTCCTTGTGTTTTCACAGCAAGCACTCTTACACATTGAGCCATCTCCCCTCTCTTGAACCAGAATATTAAGAATCATCGTTGATGCCCACTTTTCTACTCTTCTCTAACTATATTTGATATATTATCAAATAAGGTCTCACTCACCTTTTAATGTCTATAAAATGAATTTATATCTGTCTAGTTTTATTAGTTTGAACTGCATCAAACTGTAATGCCACCAAACTGCCATCAGTAGCTTTCTCTGTGTTCTGCTGATGAGAGCTCTGCCCCACCTATCTGTTCTATGCTATAGCTGGAGTAATCTTTACAAAATGCTAAGCCATCACATTACCACCAGTTAAAATCCTTTAGTGGCTAGCCTTTGATTCTGTGATGGAAAGAAAATGCTATAACTTGTACTAAACAGATCTGATGCCTTTAGATTTCTCAAGCTTGCTCCAAAACATCTAATCCTTCCTCCCATCTCTGCTCCAGCCCTGTTGACTTCTTTTTTTTTTTTAATTTTTAAAAATGATTTATTTAATAACAACATACTTAGAAGAAGCATATCATTACAACACAATTGACATATTCAATAACGGTTTCCTGAGGTAGGATGCATCTCTTTCAAAATTGGCTGTAAATTTTTAGGTTTACAGTTGAATTATTACAGTTATACAATATTGTACTCAGTATAAACCCTATAAG